AAGTCATTATCACTTCAAAATTTCCTTATTCAATATAAGCTTGTTTTAAGCTCTTATTGAACGTCGAAAAAACTACCATCAGTTCAATAAATTACAGCTGTACAGAGAATAACCGGCAAGAAACTCTCCAGTCTTATCTTTTTTTTTTTATGATGCTAATATAAGACGTTAGCTGTATTTATTGTTTGCGTGGAGTCATGATATCCGCCATGGGACCTTCCGAATTTCGGGCACGAAGTATTTTGGTGTATTTCTAATGTGAAAAGACGGCAAGCCAGCAACCAAGTGATGACCACTACCCATGAACATCTATAACACCAGAGGGGACGCAGATGAAATGTGCCCCGGAGAAAGTATTATACTTCCACCTCACGCAGGTTCTCTGTGAGGCAGTGGCATAAGACTGCCCATTCGTGCAACATTGATTGCAAGGTCCTAACACGTTCGAGAAGAGCAGAAAGACGAAGTCTATTGATCCTGTCAGGTAGGGTTTAACGATCTTTCCAAATCTTTCTTTCTAAATCTATCCAAAAGTATAAATGTATCAGCGGTACATGAAGATAATGAGTGTGAAAGAATCATGCATGGTCCAAAGCATAAACACGTAACAACTTAAGGTATTAACGGCAGTAGTGATACGGAATTTGTGTAGGCTTAAGCCTTTAGGGCCGGTTCATTTTCACAATCGTAGGCTTATGGGCTTATAGCATAGGGCTAAGGTACCCTGTGCATGGGATAAAAAGCGATTAGAAGGGGACAACAGATTTACAAGCGATTGGAAAGTGATCCTTTGTAGCAGCTTGTGGATATGCCTATCCTGGGCTCTTCTTAAGGCTTTTTAGTAGAGAGGTCGATCGGAGTATTCTGATAGCCCTCTCCCATCGATCTCAACGCAATCAGAGCTCTAGTTAATTTGAATACTGCATCAGCCTGTCTTTCTTCTACAAGGTTAATATTATTTAAAACGATTCCTTTGCGACCTTCGATTGCACGAGTAGCGAACGTGACGTAATGAAATTTGCTTGTGACTTCTTAGTTTGCTTTTTACAAACACTGTTTTTTGTTGAAGTTCAACCACCTAATGCGAGCAGAGCTACGAATTCATCGATGGATGTTCATCGAACACTATCAGAACATTATAACGTTCGTTGACGTTTTATTTAATTTTTGATGTTATGAAGTGCATAAAGTAATAGTCCTCCATCTATATGATATAATAATAGGCCTCCGGTTTAGCTCTTATTGTACAGAAGAAAAAAACGCAAACTGATATTCAAATAGAAAAGCATATAACAATTCTACTGATTAATAACGGAATGGAAGGAATGGATGCTTTATCCAACTGTGCTAGTACTCGTGGTACTAGGGACCTATGAAGTCATTGAATTCTAGGATACAAGGTCAACGATCCCAGCAAGTGGCAATAGAGAATAGACCAAGACCGAAAAAATATAATTTGTCTCGCACAACGGTTGCTATGAGAAATTAAGCTTAAAAGTACAGAATCCTAATGGGGAAAAACAATCTACGTAAGTCGGCACATAATAAAATATTACTTTTATCATACAGTAAAAGTAATGTTTAAAAAAATAAATAAAATAACTTAGAAAGTGTTGCGTATTCTTTTTACTAATTGTCAAAGTTTCCTTCTGTCGATTCTTAAAATTCTACCTTTTGGCGACACATTATGATCCAATGCGTAGCTCAATTGTCTCCCGTTCGTTCAATTTAATCTGTCCAAGTGTCCACTGAACGTTAACGGATATGTAATGCTATAAGACCCTTTAAATCCGTTTAGCGGGAAACGTGCGTACGCAGTTCAGTTCCCGCGTAATTTTCGATTGGGTAATTTTGGTCCGCCATTTTGCAAATATATTCTATTGCAACTTGCCAGGGATTTTTATCCCCTCTAACGGTCCGCGCTGAGGATTGTCAATTTGTGTATTTATTTCCACAGTTTTTTATCATAAGAGGGTTCAAAATTTTAACAACGATCACTGTGTGACGCTTTACAGCGGTACTAGACCTTCATCGCTAAGCCTATTGAATGGATTGGACTGAAAGAAATGCATAAGAAAAAATATAGATGATAGAAAAACTACTTGATCAGTTTACGTACTTGACCCGTCCGAATTTTTCGCACTAAATCGTGGGCAGTCACTGCACGTAAATGAACGTATCAGTGAAAGGTATTATTCTGTGGAGTGGAGGTATAACTTATGCTATAAGTCGTTTTCGTTACATATGGTATGTATATTTAAGTGCAATACATTTCAAAATTAGATAACTAACTCTAATCAAAAAATCTTAAGAAAATAACGTTAACAGTTATTATCAACATCAAGTCTGTATGACTGCACATGCGTCCTATGATAAACGCCATTCAATTTGTAGTTGATTACTTATTAAAATGCATATAAAAAATGTGTTCATTGTCTTCAGATGACAGCGTTAGTAATCGATTACAATTAATTTCAATATTCTGCGTTTATACAAGCATACATTAACTTTACAGATTGGAAAATAACAGGATTCAGTATAATAGAAGCATAATAGTTGAATATTAAAATAGCTTAATGGTACATGATGTTTTCTGTTACTATGGCCACGCAGCAGTTTCTTTTGTTGCATGAATAGGCAGTCTTGTCCGAGGCCATGGGTGGAACACTGGCGTGAAATGGAAGCTATAAAATCATATAATAAAATCACATATTAATTTTCCTTTTTTTTTTCTCTACACTAGAAAACAAAGCTAAGAAAAAAAAATAGTTAAACTTACATAAATGTGTTAAAATCGGAATGGAAAGATATATTTTGTAAATGTACTTGAAAGTTTTATATATTTTAAAGCACAGTATCCTCGCCCTCGCATCGGATTCGGACATAGAAAATTTAAAAGTTTTTCATAATATAATGGCCGTCAAGTAAACCATATAATAATAATAAAAAGTTTTTTACTTCTTACTTACTCTTATGTACCTTATGGTGGTGGGGTCGGCAAATCATGTCAGTCATGTTATTAATCGTATTAGCTACATATTTTACTACCGGCTGCCTGTTTGACGTCAAACCTCTTTGGGAACAAACACTTAGATTAGACAAAACACAAGAAACACCTAGAGATAGAACAGTTGGTGCCACACCGAACTATTTGGGTGATCTGTGAGTCACACACATAGTCCCGTATGGGACTTGAACTTACGACGACCCATGGCGCCGATGCCAAAAGCTTAGCAACTGCGCTACCGAGTTAAAGTTTAAGTATATCAAGTAATTTTAAATGGCTATCACTTATGACTTGGGCATAAAAAAACTACGTTCTTTCTAGTCCGGATGCTTGAAAACATCTTCCAACGCAGCGGTAAAGAGTTTCGAGGATAATGCATCACCCTGTCTTACACGCTTCTGCACTTGAATAGGTTTTGTACTACTGGACTTTACTTGGACAAACATCGTAGGTTTTCAGCAAAAGGAAAAAAACGTATTTTTTTATGTAAAATAACATCGTCTGTTTTATATAGTTATCGACTTGGAGAATTCAGTTTTGATGGGAATGCGATTAGGGTTTAATTGCATAATCGACAATTGGGCTTAAATTCGGATTCTAATTATGAATGAAATCGGAGCTTAAATTAAGTGCATCCGCATCACTCGCATCACTATATTCGATCTAACTACGATACTTTTAATGGGTTTTATCATAAGTATAAAAAATCTAGTAATGTAATTGTATGAAATTGTATCAATATTTTTGATGTCTGCTAACGTACTTAGAAAGTTCGAAACACACAGAATAAATAAATCCAATATCTTTGCGTATATATATTGCTTATCTTTGCTCGAAAAAGCTGCCAGTATAGCAATTTAAAAAAATCAAAAGTAGGCTACACTTTTGGCGCGAAACAAACTTTTCGACTTAACGACTTTAGAAAAATAAGTTCACATGAGCTTGCGAATTCAAACGCTTCAAAGTGTATGCTCGTTTAAAAGTTTAACCGTTAAATTGAAGTTTGTTCCGCAAATTATTGAAATTGTACAATTTTATTGGGTATGAAAGATTTAATTAATTTTTCGGGTCACGGGTGTAGATGTAGAAAAATTGGGCGGGGCGCGGGCGCTTGCAACTAGTGTGGTGGTACTGGCATCGGGATGTCGATAAATGTCATGTCATAATTTGTAATAAGTTTTTATGTAAAAAATAAACATGTCCACACTCGACCTAAATATTATTCATGTTTGCACTATGAGTTGACGTGAGAGACATTATGGCGTTGAAACTGAAAGGATTTAATTAAAAATTTACAAAAAGCTATAGATAAAACAAATTATTATTTATTCTATTAATCAATACTTTCCAGTTTTATTTAAAAGTATTTTTTAAACGTTACATGAACAACATCTAGATCCCGAATATGATGTGTTTTTAGATTATACGAATATCCGGTTCTGCGTGAAAACCTACGATCCAGAGCACTGAAAAATATATCCATCATCAACTATAAATAAATATTTCAGGACATATTTTTACACAACGCTATCGGAACTAGATAGATGGATATTAGGCAACTAATAACTACACTTTTCTTTTGTTAATAAATAGATATTATAGCTAAACAAACGCCCAGACTCTGGAAAAAGAATGTTCATTACAAAATATTTTTCCAGTAGTTGGGAAGGAACTCGCACCCTCTGCCGCAGGAGACAGGTCCACTACTGACTACGCCAATCGTGTTAAGATAAAGTTTCAGTATGCGTAAATGCTGACGAAAATGTAAGTAAGTGACTCTTGTCTGGTATGAATGACATACTTTGGATAGGAGGGTGATTTAGGCCGCGCGGTCATCGATATCGCGCGCATCCCTAGGGTTAGCCGCGACCGCTGTGCCGCTGTCGCCCGGCACCCGGCCCCGGCCCGGCAGTGCCTTACGCGGCGTGTCTGCAAGAGCACGTTTCTGTGCTAATGTCGTGACAGTGCAGTGCGGAGACGAGTGCACGCAGCCATGGGGTGCGCCCGGGGGCTTTGCACTGCCGAGAAGATATTCATATTCATCAACATCGCCTTCGCGGTAAGCGAACTACTAAGAACTTCGCAAAAATTCCTGTCATCCCAACTCAGATTTTGTAATAAACATTATTAACGTAAGATTATTTAAATTTAGATTGTTATTAATTTTATCTATCTTATAGAGTGAACTATTTAAAAGTTAGTGAAGTGGAAAAAATCAATCGCGTATAAAAACCCGATGCGGCTTGTCTGTATTTAAAATAACGTTCGATAAACCCGTTTGGATAATGCAAACGCGCGTGTTTCGCTCGGAATTCGTTCGGTGGGCAGCGTAAACAATGCCCCCTCATCCCGGACTACCTGACGTAAAAGACCGTGGCGCGACTCGTGGTTTTTATTGCCACAAACTGTTTACCTCTATAAACACGTCCCGCCTGCAAGTAACGGCCGGTCTGTGCGCCCCATTTCGCTCCAACGGACATTCTTTGATTATAATTCATAAACTCTTGGGTCTTACAAGTTGATTGTAGTGCGCCTACCAAGTATTCAGACTTAAATCGGACAGTCCGGGCGATTAGTTAAATCTTAAGATTATAATTTAAGGTGTATTTACTGTCATGGACTTAACTATTAGAGAAATAAATTATATAAAGTAAAATTTAATGAGAAATAAAAGATTGGTTATTCTACCTACAAACCCATAATTAACTTTTATTTTAGTGTAAACATTAAAAGAAAATCCTTTTAATTATGAGGCTTAAATAAAAGTATCGCGCAATAAAGAGTAATCTATGTTCAAAGATATTGAATTAATAAATAAAAAAAAAACATTCGTTGACATATTCGTTATAAGCTTTTTCTTATGAAAAATCTTTGTTCAAACGGGAGTGAATGGATAGCTTTACATTCCGCATTGTTTTGTTTTTACATCAAAGCCGGCTTCTTTGTCTGGATTTGAGGGCGAAGTGGCGTGGCTTATGTTATGCAGGCGGTTTATCTCGAGGGTCATTGCTATCACAATTGCTTTGAGTAATCGCGAAGACGTCACCGAAACAAAAGTGGAGTGGACGCGCGATTCAATTGTTAAGGGTTTTTAAATTAATTTTCAAAAAGTTGTCAAACGAGCAGACGGTTCACCTGATGTTAAGTGAATACCGCCGCCCATGGAGATCTGCCACACCCGAGGATTACAGAGGCTTTGACAACCTTTTGAAAATTGGGCTCTGGCTACCTCACTCACCAGACGAAACGCGAAAGTATTTGTCATACTTCCACTTTACGCCTATCTTCTGTGAGTCGTGGTACTTACCCGGACGAGCCTGCCCATTCGTGCAACAGCCGAGGCTGCTGCGTGGCTCTACCACCGTCGAATTACGAGAAATACCAAATACTTTGGCAGCAAAAAGTTTACAGTGTATATGTAATGATCTTACATCTCTGTATTATGATATTATGCATATCCATATGATAAACGTAAGACGCGTCTTCTGACGAAATAAGATCCGACGGTGTATTGTTCGTTGCCATTTCTCGGAGCCGACGATTAACGAGTAATAATATTTTTCTCAAACAAAAGAACAGTTTCAAAAATTTATACGAACAAAAAACTTATCTATAGATACAAATAAAGCTGTATTTATTTATTAATAACGATTACTCAGATCACATAAATATTATAGTTGCATTTTATCCTTATCCATATCCATACTATTATTACTATCTTACTTCTTACAATTTTTTTTTGTATGTAAGTAGATGTTGTTACTCTTTCACGCAAAAACTAATTAATGGATTTTGATGTAACTTTACAATAATATAGATAATACATCAGAATAACACAAGCTATTATTAATAATGATCAAGGGTCTCTAAAAGTAGTTCTAATTGTCTGTTACGCCTTTACGACTAAACCGCAGAACCAATTTTGATGAATTCTGGTATAAAGATAGATAGGACCTTGGAGAAGAAAATAAGCTATTTGAAGTACCAATCTTGCGAAGTCGGCGGGCACCAGCTAGTACTAAATATATAAACACACCAGTAAGTATATATTCTCTTAATACATTGCACTTAGAAACTCAAAGAGCCAAGGTTTACTAAGACTGCAAAAAATCCAAGACTTTGACACGTCCCAATAAATTCATGTTGAAGTTGTCTCTCTGTCTGCCCCTGACTACGTGTCAATTTACCTTATCGTACATAAAGGATTTGAGGCTAGGTGAAAAAAACTGTAAGATTTTTTCGGCACGAAAACACCGTGGCAACCAGTAACAACTTTATAGCTTCTACCTATAATGCCAAGTTATTTGATTAAACTGTTATCGTTTATGTTTTCTTTTATAACAATAGATAAATTTGATTTGTTAAACTTACCATAGCAAATGTAACGAAAATCTATCCCTATCTTGTCTATTTACTCTTATTTAAATTTGAAAGTACCAAATATGTCAACAGAAAAATAAAACCGAACTGATTTTAAAAAGTCGGGATTAAAAATTAAAAAGGTTAATTTTGTTGAAATAAATCATAGACATGTTAACGAGTTACGAGTATCTTTGTGGTGGAGTAATTTTGTTATCGATACAGAACTTAACATTACCTAATATGTTACAAACAGCCAAATCCGACCTCTTTACAGTATTGATTTAAGCATTTTAAATGAAACTGGTTTACGGATTTTGTCGTCTCTAATTTTGATTTTATAATTCCGAACGTTTCGAACCCTTTCCAGCGTTCATGGTCACTGGACAGATTGTCTGTACCGTGATCGTGTAAATCTAAATTAAAACGCGATAAAATCCGTAAACTAGTTTCATTTAATATTTACTCGCGACCCGCCCCGGCTTCGCACGGGTGCCACACATATAAGCCTTCCTGTTGAATCACTCTATCTACTAAAAAACCGCATCAAGATCCGTTGCGTAGTTTTAAAGATCTAAACATACATACATATGGACAGACAGACAGGGGGACGAATTTGTTTTATACTGTGTAGTGATAATATCCGCGAAAAATCAAAAGCCAATATGGTTTAAACATTATTTAAAAAAACTACGGTGCGTCACGACCTATCGACGGGCCTTTAGTAAGCATTGCAAGCAAAGCGCTAAACGCTGTAACATCGTCCTCCGCGGAACACGCTGAAATTACAGCGGATTTCGTAAACTGATGGCGTATTAAGGCCCATTTACACGATGCCATTTTCTTGTACATACAAGAGCAATAATTGAATGCAATAAGTTGCACGCAATAATTGACCATCAAGAATTGTAAGCAACAGTTTACACGCAGATATAGTAAAAAAAATTGAATGCGATTATTGTATGCAAGTCTTGACAGGAAATAATTGCAAAGGTCTTTTGTTTACACCAATGCAATTATGTTTAGGCGATTATTGCTTTCAAGTTTTGACTTGTCTAAACACATGCTTGTATGTGCGTGTACAATTTATTGGCGTGTTGCTTCAAGTATTGCACGTATTTGCGTTGACAAATTTTTCATGCAAGTGTTGAACGTTTTACAAAGGGCTGTTTTTTTAAAAAAAATGGCTCAATAATAAGTGTTCAAGTTAGATTATGCCGATTAAATATATTTCATTGAGATTTATTTATTATGATCCATATATTATTATTCATATTTTTATCCAACTTTTTTTTTACGACCTTTTCTCAATATTTCTATCCTCAAAAGAACAGCAATGATTAAATACCCTCACTCATTGCACAAATTTTCGCCAAGGAAGAGAGAATGCAATTGAATACAAGAATTGCTTAAGAAATTATTGTGTGTGCTGTTTACACCAAGGAAAGTTTTGAAACAAAATTTGAAGCAAGTCTTGTTCAACAGTCAAGAATGTTATGTGCTGTTTAGACAATGCAACTCATTTATTGCTTCAATTTAATTGTATATAACAGGCAAGAAACTTGCACCGTGTAAATGGGCCTTTAGGCGTCAGTCAGCAAGGTCTTCGCTCCAAGCGTTGTGCAAGAGCATTAGCGTGCCGCGAGGTCGGTGGCGGGCGACGCCGCGCGATTTGCTTAGTGCAGCGATTGTGCACGTGCCTACAGAACCGGAGCTTGGCTGTTCATGCAAAAACTAACTAAGTATACATAATACCGAAGAATTATTGATAGTGCGAGACTCCTGTTTTAAAAGACATGGTCTCTAAAAAGTCAAAGTTAAAATTTATTTATTCAATACTGGCCTATTTTAAGGTTGTATTGAACGTCGAATAACTACCACCTGTTCTCTGATCTAGACATGTCCAGAGAAACCGGCAAGAAACTGCGGTCTTGTCATCTTTTTTATTTATTGATGCAACAACAAAATTATTTAGGTATAAAATCAGTAAGCGAGGGGAATTGCTGGGGAATTGCATGTGCTGAGGAAGCGTCGTTTTAGAACCACACAATATCTTTGTCCTCAATGTATTCTTCAATATAATAGAATTAGCATTATAATAGGCCCTTACCGCAGCTTAGACTTGCAACAGCTTTAGGGTTAAAGTAGTTCAAACTTTTTGTTATATATTCCTGTACATATCCTAGTGCTGTGACCAGTAGCTGTTGTGTATACATATTACATGCTAAATCCCCATATGTCAAAGGGCTCGGTTCGAATATTTCCTGGCACCAATAATATTATATACCTATGTTATAAAAAATATACGAGATAGATATTTCACTAGCGCACCGAAACTGAGGCACTCAAATTACACCAATTGGTGTAATTACATTGCAACTCTATAAATTGCTATCCTTTTCCATATCATACATTCTGTATCATCTGTAACATACACTTAAAATGTCTTTTGAATGTAAAGCGGAACAATTTTTAAACGCCGCGTAGTTTAGATTTACAATTTGGTCAACTACATTTTTTTTTATTTATAAGTTGTGGGATTTAAGTCGTGTGTACAGGACAACGTCTGTCGGGTCCGCTAGTATATATAAAGTAATCATAAATTTTTATGACTTTTTTAAATATAATTTTATGAGGCGTTGTTTACTTTATTTTTATGTTCCGCATTCCCCTTCTTTAAGCCGGATACAGCGTATTTAT